TGTTAATGTAGCCTTACAATAAAGTAGAATTAGCTCATCTGGTCATGTTTCCTGTCTGGTTAACCTGGGAGGGCTGACATCAATCTTGTAAGTCTGAAAGTACAAATCTCCCACCATCCCTTTTTACCGCCTGATTAGTTACGGAGGGTCCTTTCTAAGTTTCTTTCTGTACCTGTTACTCTGTTGCAGGGTTCTCCCCTTTTGTCTGATAGTTCCCTAGGCAGCATCTCTTCCCCCCATCTTTCAAGGTCACTCTCACAGGGCAAGAGGTTGGGGAAGAAGTCTTCTGTGATTCTGTGATCCTATACCTGCGTATCCCTCCATAGTTAGTCTCATGCTTCTCCATCATGTTGCAGTTCTTACTCATCACAGCTAAATGATTAACTGGGCTATGTTGAGCACTCACATGATCTGGATGGATCTTTCTGAATATTATTATTATTAGCAGTAGTAGTGTCTTACTTTTTCACAACTCTGTGAGGTATCTTAGCATGAAAGAAACAGAAATTAGTACAAAGTCACACAAAAACCTCCACTGCACATTCTGATTTCTGCAGCCAATACTGTAACCACTATAGCACTTTTTGTCTTTCTTCCTTCTCACTCTCCTCCCCCCTCCCCACTTATCTTGGATTTTTCTCTATTATGCATCAATCCATATATAATTTGTATGTGTCCAAAAAAAAAAAAATTATCTGGAGAGTCCCTTCCACTAATGTGGTAAAGAATTTATAGTGGTAGATGAACTAATGGTTTGATTCAGTAGGTGGCAATTTCCATTTTAGTCTATGTTTATGTAACGGAAAGAATTATATATATGGATAACCCAAAGCAGTCCTTTTTGCCCTTACAAATACTGCGTTTGTCTTTGTGCAGGGCAAGAGTCAGCTGTTGTCGACCAAAGTGTTCTGTCAGAATTATGGAGGAATAGAAGATTGATGGCATCCAGTAATGAGTCACACAAACAAAAGAACTGCACGGAGCCAGGTAAGAAATGAGGAGCTTTAAGATATTTTTCACTTCTGTCTTATTGTGGCAAGACCTGCAGCAGTGTGTCAGAGCTGGAAGATTGTTGCAGGCAGGAAGACAGTTTAATGAATGCATAGATTGGTGACAGACAGCTGGCAATGAAATGGAAGGTTGGCCCAGCCGGGGAAAAAGGTACCTTTTCAGTGACACAAAATAGGCCCAAATCTTCAGGGTAGGTTGCGGGGAGATGCTTCTCTGTTGCAGTTGGTTACCTCATGTGTCTGCTTGTGTTCTGAGGAAACATGATGACTTTGAAGTGGCACATCTTTCCTTTTTGTCCCATTGTTTTTGTTGCACGGAGCAAAACAAACACCTACACATTTCAGCATATGGCTATTTCTGTATTACTGGTGTTGACAGTCTTATAAATGAATTTCTGTATTTGAGGTTTTTTTTAATGAAAACATATATTTGAAAACTATTTTAAAACATATGTGTCTGAATAATGGGAAAAGAGCTGTCGTATTGTTGATATATTTGAAAAAAATGGAAAGCAGATTTTTTTTTTCAAAGTTGTTGAATTTAGGAGCCCTTTGTTTCTGTGTCAGATTTACCATTAATACTAGAATCCATAACTACCTTCAATGGTTATACTTTGTTTCAGCTTGAGTGGCTGTTGGGAGGAGAATAAGTAAGTTTTGTGCTTCACATTTTTATAAAGTGCACACATACCCCCAACCCCCTGCCAGATAGAAGTTTAGTTCTAACATTCTTGACAATTCAGGAAGATTCAGGAAGTGATTTTTCAAAACAGTTCAATAATGGGAGATGACATTTTCATTTATTTAAAATATTTCTAGCCTACATTTATAGTGGAAAGCCCTCCCAAGGGAGCTTACCCATATAAAAGGGACAAACAGTAATAAAAGCAGCATTGAAACAGACATTTAAAAAAGCACAGTACAAAACACTCCCCAAAATAATAAATTCAATCGCTGTTTCAGCTGGGGCTTAACATTCATACTGGAGCATAGATTGACTTTTTAAAAAACAGGAAAGCATAATGACTTATGATCCCTAACTAAATGGCATCTACTCTCCAGAGTTGGCCTCATCAATTCCATTAATGTTACTGAGCACAGATTCCACCTTTGGGGTTTTGCCAGAGTTCTATACTTAGGTGTTTTTTCCCTGCCCATTTGGTGTTTAGTTTCTTAAAGAGCAATCAAGGGAGCTTAATGGACAGAAATTTTTTCTGAGTACCGACTCGCTGCATTTCAGAATTTCTGTATGGAAGAACATCAGCTTGTGGCTTGTGTCACGTCCACTTACACAGATAACAAAAAATACAAGGAGAGCCACGCAAGATCGGATCAAGAACCCTTTTAGTTCAACATTTTGTTTCTACCAGTGGCCAGCCAAATGCTTTTGGAAACCCACAAGAGGCCACGAAAGCAAGAGTTCTCCTGTGTGATTTATTTGTGCAATTTTGTATTCATAGCGTACAGCTTTTGCATATGTAGGCAGTGTTTGGCCCATGATTAATAACTGTAGATGAACTTGCTTAATCCCCTTTTCAAACCATCTATGCCACCTTATGTGATTACCATAATATCTTCTGACAATACGTTTTTAAGTTTGTTATATGTTACTTAAAAAAGCACTTTCGGTCACCTGCCCAAATCTACTTTCATGTAATCTTATTTGGTGAACCTAATTTCTAGTGTTTTAGGAATGAGAAATTTCTCTCTAGCCCACTTTCTTCTTACAATTCATGCCTTCCAGAGTTGCTATGAGTTGGGTGGCCTATAATTGTGATTTATGAATGAATGAGTGAATGAATGAATGAATGAATGAATGAATGAATGAATGAATGAATGATAGCATAACACCAGAGATGCCATTTTCTGATTTAAAAATACTGAGTTTTTGATAACGCATGCATTTTTGTTTAAGCTGAGCAATATTTCTCTGCATACAATTTAAGTATGTAGAGAGGGAAGAGAAATCTAGAGGGA